AAAAAAAAAAAAATTATTATTACTATTTCTTCTAAATTAAATTAAGATCCTGGTATTGTTTCATTGCGGGTTTTGTCTCATGCTAGGATTGTAAAGATCTCTTTCAAAATAAAATATAACACTACAAGAAGGATCCAGCAACTAGAACAGTAGAACCATTTATTTATTTTTCAAGATCCGTAGTCGAGAGCACTAGAGTGTGCGCACAGTAAGTTGGATCCACTATTGTACTCCTACTTGTACAAAATAGGAATAGAGAAAGGTTCACGAGATCGACAAATCTACAAATCATGACAACAAAAACAAACAAATTGATTGAAGACGATAGTGTTCTTAACTAAAGCCAAGGCCGAGGAAATAATGCTTCAACGAAGCCCAAAACATAGGATAAAAAGGCCAAGAATGCACTGTCCACCTTGAAAAGCAATCACGCCTGGAAAATGAATTAAATCCATTAAGTAAAGAAGATTCATCAAAAGGTGCTTTTCTTTTTTGGGGGCAGAAAACATTTCCAGATACATTAAAAGCTTTTGGTAATTTTTACCTTGTTAGCAATGTTGTTCGACAGCCATTCCAGCCCCTCATACAGCCCTTCACCAGAAGTTGCACAAGTGCTCTGAATATACCTGCATTTTCAGATAGCAACATTTTGGAGCAATTACACGACCAAGTACAATTTAGTAAGGGAAAAAAGGAAAGTTAAGAGGGGCAAACACATAAAACAATTTACCAATGACGTTGGCGAAGGGAATGAAGGCCAAGCTTGTCTGTTATTTCAGCAGCATTCATAGCATTTGGAAGATCTTGCTTGTTGGCAAATACGAGGAGAACAGCATCACGCAATTCATCCTGAAATAGCAGAATAAACATAAGACTCGATTATTGCAACTGTTTGAGTTTTGCAATCTTATCTCATAGGAGCTTTAGATGGTATAATAAAGGCATGACATTCACAGCATGCATGCAGGTGGTAACATAAATGTTAAGTTTTACTGGGAAGGTATTGTGATGGTTGGTGATGCACATTTTCTTTTTCTTTTTTTCTTACTTACAATTTTAAGAATAAAAATTTACTGAGCGAAAAAAGGGAGAGAGGGATTCAAAAGTCGTAGGCAATCACAGCATGCAGGTGGTAACAAAAACCTTATGTTTTACTGGGAAGGTATTGTGATGGATGGTGATGCACATTTTCTTTTTCTTTTTTGCTTGCTTACAATTTTAAGAATAAAAAATTACTGAGTGAAAAAAGGGAGAGAGGGATTCAAAAGTCGTATGTGTACGGCTTGGAGAGAAATCTTTCATATCTTTCTGACTTGCTCCTACTGAAATTTCCAAATGAACAATTTCACCAAAATCTTTCAACTCGGTCCTGTTCTAAATAAGTCTGAGGGCCTGTTCTAAATAAGTCGAGGTATTCTGAGGTTCAAGGCCAAGTGGAAAGATGCGCGAGTAACAGTGATTTTGGAATGTAAATATTGTATGTGAAACATAGTTGAGAAATTTCCGGCAGGCATTTGCTGATATAGTACCACATCTTACCTCATTCAACATTCTGTGCAGTTCATCTCTTGCTTCCACAACACGATCCCGGTCATTGCTGTCAACAACAAAGATAAGTCCCTGAGTGTTCTGGAAATAATGCCTCCACAATGGACGAATCTGCATAACGGACAAGATACATCAAAGTTGGAGGTCTGAACTTGAAGGAACACCAGGTTAACGAAACTGATTTGATCACAATCAAAGCAAAAACAGTTGAAATTGTTAAACAGCGCAAAATTCTTTGATCAAACAACTGACTAAGTCAATCATCATGAGCGATAAACACGAAAGCATACGTACCTTGTCCTGGCCCCCAACATCCCAAACAGTGAAGCTAATATTCTTATACTCCACTGTCTCCACATTGAACCCTGAATAAAACCAAACCACAACCTGAACATCAAAGAGTTTGTCTGATAACAATACTGATGCATTCATAGACGAGTAAAAGCAAGAATAAAGTGAATAGCCATTAAAGCGTACCAATAGTAGGAATCGTCGTGACAATTTCTCCAAGCTTGAGCTTGTAGAGAATGGTAGTTTTACCAGCAGCATCGAGACCTACCATCAATATACGCATCTCTTTCTTGGCAAAAAGCCGGCTAAAAAGCTTAGTGAAAGACAACCCCATCTCTGAACTGCAAACTAATATACAAGTAACATACAGTTCAGAACAGAATCACAAAGTACCGACAAGAGAGGCGAGCTATTGCCATTTCATGTTACAATATAATATAGTCAGCTGAATTAATATAAATGGTCATCTACATCAGTACACAGGCGTTGAACAAAAACATCAAAAACATCTAGGATCATATATCACAGATTATCACACAACAATACGTACCTCAAACATAATTTCACAAACAGTCTAATCAGAAATTACGAAATCCATCAAATTGGCATCAGATACCCAGTCGGAACCCCGTAAGAAGTCTATTCTTCTTCAGTAACATACATGCATGAAAAGGATATTATGAACAGTAGCATCTAGGATAATAAATCACGGACTCAAATATCATTTCACAAACGGTCTAATCAGAATCACCAAATCCGTCAAATCGACAACAAACACTCAGAAAGATGAGCGAAAAAACAAATATCTCTTATCACCCAATCTGGATCGAGCATCAGACCGGAAAATTAAGTTCAAGATATCAAATGAGAAGAGGATATATAATTTGCCGTTTCGCTTCTGAAAAAATCAAATCAAATTCATATACAATAACCATCAAGCTGGATCTATGAAGAGGATCTTACGCGAATCGTATCACAACACAAAAAGTCAATGAAAAATGAACCAATTAAGAAGATGAATATTGTTTACTTACATTGAGGAGGAGCTGTAGGGATTGAATGGTGCAGAGATCTCTCTCTCTCAGCTCAAGATCTCTCTCCAACCAGCGCCAGATGATGATGAGTCGTCTGTTGACGTATGAGCTGAGAAAGACGCCTTTTTATTTGCAGGAAGGATTTTAAATAAGAATTTTCTAAAGTTCCGTCGAGACTCGAGACTTTCCAGGAACCATTCCTCAAAATTAAAACCAATCATCATCCGCCACGTCATTTACTACCGCGTAATGCTAATAACATTGTACACTTGTACACGGCTGTTTGCTAATTTTCATCTTAAAATCTAAAATTAATGAGAAAAAATAGTTGAAAATTTAAATACATTTTACAAAAATATATATATTATTATCTATTTAGTATGACCCTTTTTATTTGTGCAACTTACCTGTGTTATATTATAATAATTTTTAACTTACAACATATAACTACATTAAACATAAATATATCAATTGATAAATAATTTTATTTTTCTAGTGAATTTTAATAAATATTATTATTTTTTATTATTATAAAGATAAATATAATTTATTTATTTCATATATACAATATGGATGTCAAATCGAAAATCATCAAAAGATGAACAATTTGATATATAATATATGTAAAACCGATAAAAAATACAAAAGTTATCAAATTTTAAAATACATTTACAATTCAATAGCTAATTGAACGAAACAACTCAAAGTCAGGGATATATTAGTCCTTAGTGCCTCACTATGTAAAATTACAAAGAATTAAAGGATTATATTAGTACAAGTGATATTAAAATACCAAAATTAGATAAATAATATTTATGGAATGTCTGAACCTAGATTATTAAGTTTTAATATATCAATATTATTTGTCCAAACCTAATTACGAAGCATGATTTTTCGCCATGTAAGATTTCGAAGCACCAGAAGCAACCACGTAGGCTCAGCGCATTCGAGAATTATATATAGGGAGAATATAAGTATACATAACTTTCACATTTAGTGGGACCTACCAAAATTAAAATTAAAAAATCAAGTGGACCTCACTCGAATTATGTACATTTCTATGTACATTTATTATGTCTTGTAGCATTTTTCTTTATCTATATTGCTTGTTAGCCAATTATTTTTAATATAATCGCATAAATATATAAAAATAGAATGCGAGATGTAATATAAAAAAAAATTAAATAGAATGATATTTAAAATTTATATGCTAAAAAAGTTAAAACAAAATAGAAATAGAAATTTATATTTAAAAATTTAAATATTTTTTTAAAATTAATTATTTTTTTCATAACTCATACCATATAAAGGATTTATAGATACATGTTTTATGTTCATATTGTTAACAACAAATTGATATTAATAAATTAAATAACATGTTAACTCCACATCATTAATTTGTAATTATTATTTAATATTGTTTATCCACATCTTTGATTTACAATTATTATTTAATATTGTTTACTCGTGCAATCTCACGGGCTATACACTAGTAAAATAAAGAAAGAGATAAAAGAATAACTGTGCGTGCAGATTACAAGTTGGAGGAAAAATTAGAGATTTAGTCCTTTAAGTGGCGTCGATTTGAGGTTTAGTCCTTTAACTGACCAACTTTTAGAAAATGTCCTGTAAGTCTCAAAAAACCTGAGATTTAGTCTTATTACCGGCAAAAACAGGTCACTTTTACCGGCTTGCCTACGTGGAATTTTACACGATTTTTTTTTTTTTGCTGATTTAGCTGACTTGGCAAAATATGTAACATATTTACAAAAAAATGTAGATAGTGGGGTTCGAACCCAGACCAAAGAGTATTCAAGTGGCCTTAAGAGCCACTTCACCTACCACAATTTATGTAAATTTTGTGACTTCACTTATATATATTTAAAGAACAGTTATTATATATTTAGTTACTAGGTTAATATATATATATATATTAAATATTTAATTATGCTACTATTATATATATATTAAATATATTATATAATATATTTATTTATTTAAATATTAATATATTTTTCAATATTTATATATATATGATAAAATAAAAAAATTATTATTTAATATATTTATTTATTACGTTATTTGATATATTTATTTATTC